AGCCCCAGGCCCCCTGTTCGGAGATCCCGTTAAATCCCACAAGTATTACAGAAACCCTAAGGCGGTGGGCACGGTGGTGCATGCCTGTAATCCTAGTACTCTGGGAGGCTGAGGCTGGGGAGCTCAAATCGAAGCCAGCCTGGGCTGTTTATTGCGATTTTTCGAGACTTTTTTTTTTTTTTTGCGGAACCAGGGATTGAACTCAGGTCCTTGCGCTTGCCAGGGAAGCGCTTATTCCACTGAGCCATCTCCCCAGCCCCACGAGACTGATTTTTAAAACTCGCTGGGGATGTATGAAGGCCCTGGGTTTAATCCCCAGTGTTGGGAAGGGGGTGCAACGCGAGGAAGCACTGTGTGTTTTAGGGGTCCCCGATGATCATGGGGGCCACAGGAGTTTTGAGGCATTTGGGAAGTCTATGGAAAATCTGAGGTCCGCCAGAGCCCGGAAGGAATCCGGACGACCCCGGGGGATCCTGGGAGGCTGGTGGGGTTCCCTAGGAATGATGAGTCCCTCCAGGGGTTCTAAGGAATCAAGTTGGAAGTAGGGCAGAGAAACTCCATTAAGGATCACAAGAACAGCCTGCAGCAGTGAAGCGGCCACATCTGAGGCGCGCAGGAAGTCCTCCCACACTGGGTCCTAAAGAGTCGCGAGGAGAGGGGCGGAGTCGCCCAACTGCCGCGGTGGATCACGGGAGCCAGCGCTTAAACTACGGCCGCGAGGCCCAGGAAAGAAAGGAGGGGAGCCCCAGTCCCGCAGGCTCTCACCAGTGCGCATGCGTGGCTCTCTGGCGCCGGCCCGTACTCCAGAGTGGAGAAGATCTCGCGGGCGCTCGGCCCTGCAGGATTCGCAGCCATCGCTCGCCTGGACGGTCTTCCGCAAAACACTGCGGCGGCTCTGACCAAAGGGGAACCTTGAGGTCCGAAGGGTGGTGCCGCCCCTTCCAAGCTCCAAGGGGCGGAACCAACGAGAAGCGGACGGGAGAGTGGACGGACCGTGTATCCCCGCCCACTGCCTCCCGCCCACGGCTGGGGGGAGCAGGCCTAGAGGCTGACCCTGGGAAATGTAGTCTGGAACGTGCGAATTGCTCCGCGGGGTGAGGGGGGAGCTGGAAATGAGGCTGCTGGCGAGGAATTCCCTGAAATCATATTTTTTAAAAATTATTTATTTAAACATTTATTTAGTGTGTGTGTGTGTGTGGCCAGCTCAGCCCACCAGGGGGCGCGGCTGGCTGGCGGTGTTGGGGGATCGAACCGCGGTCCCTGTGCTTTGCCAAGCTTGTTCCAAGTAGGTGCTTTAGACCACTGAGCCATCTCTCCAGCCCCTGAAATCATATTTTAAAGATCAGAAGACAGTCTCTTAGGATAGGCATTGGTTTTACGGTATGGCAGCCTTGACTGCACTGTAACCTGACTAAACAGCGGTTGTTAGGGGCAAGCGGAAGCGTGGCTTTAAACGATACAGGAAGTGTGGCGTTTGGTGAGTAGCCTCGGGGTTTTTGAGTGGACGAAGTGCGGGGCGTGGCTACCGGTTTCGAATGTGATTGGTTGGTCTTGTGATCGTTGTGGGCTCGAAAGAGCGGTGAGTCGGAAGTGCGGCTGCTCTAGTGTAGGTGGGCACGCAGAGGCTGCAAGTGTGGTTTTCATCTAAACATTTGGCGTGTTACTTTATGTCTAGAGGTGATTGCTGACCATAGACTTGAGGACTGTATCTGGTCTAGGGTGAAATTGTAGACTCAGCCCACATTTAGGTTTCCAAATGGAATGGTGTATGTCGGGAATCGATTAGAAAGCCTGAGGCCGTGCTCCAGAGTTTGGATACGAACTCTGGAAAGGGCCCACGTCGAGGGTGCTGAGGACACCTAGGTCTGTTTCCCAGGGCCATGTCAAGGTCGACTCTGCTAGAACCAGAACTGAGAGAGGCGGAGATGATGGGTGATGAGACGACGCGGTTCGAGGAGCTGCTGTTGCAGGTAGGGATTGCCCAGATCCCTGGGTCACTGGATGATCGGGTCTTAAGTGCAAATGATGGAACTACAGCTCCCAGGATGCACTAGGGTGACAGCAAGGCCTATGGGAGTTGTAGTTGCTTGGCTTAGTTTACTAGGCTGTGAAAGAAATGGGAGTGGGTTTAGGATTCTTCATGCCTTTGAAGGAGGAAGGGAACTTGAATGTCACATTTTTCCTGTTACCAACAGTTTTCATGTATGAGTTACTCTATAAACATTTGAGGGGCTGGTGAGATGGCTCAGTGGTCTAAAGCAACTACTTAGAACAAGTTTAGCAAAGTACAGGGACCACGGTTCAATCCCCCAGCACCACATGCCAGCCTGCACCGCCCCCTGGTGGGCTGAGCTGGCCACACACACACACACACACACAAATAAAAAATAAATAAATAAATAAATTAAAAAAAAAAAAAAACATTTGAGGAACAAATGAAGGATCTGACTGCACTGACTCCAAATCTAAGGCTGTTTTCCTTCACAGGCGTCTAGGGAGCTCCAGCAAGCTCAGGCAACCACACCAGAATCTACACAGATCCAGCCTCAGCCTGGTGAGAAGAACAGAAACCCAGAGAGGGAGAGAATCATTCCACAGAGAGAACAGAAACCCAGGCACGGGTGGGGGTGGGGGAAGTGTGTGAGGGCAGGAGACACAGAGAAGGGGGGTCAGGTGGAAAGAGACATGATACTGGGGTATAAACCTAGAGGTGATGTGCGACTGACACCAGGGAGATCACCTAGGGATAGTAACTAGAAGAGAGCAGAACAGGTAGCAGGACAGACACTCAGAAGACAAGAAGAGGGTCAGAGCCTCTGAGAGGGAGGACGTGACAGATCTGTAAAATGGGGACAGAGAGATGCAGTGGGAGGGGAGACAGAGCCCCAGCAGGAGGACAGTGCAAAAGAGGGAAAGGGTGGCGGGAGGGTGGATGGCGACTGAGACCGAGCAGAGACAGATGGGCAGGACAAATCCACTCCCACAGGTTTCTGCATAAAGACCAACTCATCGGAAGGGAAGGTTTTCATCAACATCTGTCACTCTCCCTCCATCCCTCCTCCGGCTGACTTGACCGAAGATGAGCTGCTTCAAATGCTGGAGGAGGACCAAGCTGGCTTCAGAATCCCTATGAGTCTGGGAGAGCCTCATGCCGAACTGGATGCAAGTCAGTGTCCTCAGAGGACCCAGGAGTCTAGGCCCCTAGTTCATTTTTCTCCAAGGCCCGCAGTCCAGGACCTGTTTCCTCGAGTCCTGGAAATCCACCTCCAGTTGATCCACTGCTCCCTGGCATGGCCCTGGCCTCCTGGGCATCCAGCACCCAGACAGCTGCTATTTCCTGTCCTCCTGGGGAGGGGAGGGAAGAGGAGGCCTGGGCGGAGGGTTCTTTGGTCATTAACTGATCTGGCTTTAGTTTCTGGTCTGCTCTCAGGCTTTCATCCTGTTTCTCCTCTGTCCTCTTTGGGTCCATCTTTGTGTCCCGTTTCTACTTCTAGATCTTTTCTGCAATTCACACATACCTCTGGGAGGCTTCAGGGGCTCCAAGCTTTGGGCTGTGTCCAGGGGACTGAGATTTACCAAACCCAGGTCCTACCCTTGAGACGCTCACTTCCAGTCATGGGTTGGGGCAAAGGCACCCATGCAACTTCAGTGTGGTGTCATTTATGCTGCACAGGAGAGGAGGTGGCTCTGGGAGGGTCTTCATTGACACCCAAGGCTTCTTGGAGGAAATATCAGATGTAAGACTTGAAGGGATGGGAGTTTGTCAGGCAGACAGAGAAGAGCGTTCTAGGCAGAGGACAGAGGAGCCAGATGTGGAGGTAGAATGACAGGATGATCAGCCAGTGATGGTTGGGATTGGAAGAAATTTAGAGGGATGACAGTGATAGAGGAGAGGGAAGTTTCTCTGTCACTCGTGTGAAGCAGACACCATTCTGGGCCTCCAAAGCCAGGCCAGAGGATTCCTGAGCAGGGTAGAGGCATCCCTGAGGACCTGGCCATCCAGGAGTTGAGGGAGAAGCTGCAGCTTGAGAGCACACCGGTCTCAGAGTCGACTGGAAAGTGCTGTGTTGAGTTCTGTCACTTCCTGGGCTCTCCGGTTCCTGGGGCCAGGGGCCAGGCTGTGGTGGTGGCTTCCTGCGGAGCGCAGGGGTTTCTCACAGGCTGTTTCTCCCCACAGAAGGCCAGGGCTGTACGGCCTACGACGTAGCTGTCAACAGCGACTTCTACCGGAGGATGCAGGTGGGAGCCGGGCTTAGGGTGAGACCTGGGCGGGGTCTCCCTCCAGGCCTCCCAGCCTGCTGACCCACCTATCTCTTCTTGCAGAACAGTGACTTCTTGCGGGAACTAGTGGTCACCATCGCCAGGGAGGGCCTTGAGGATAAATACAGCTTGCAGCTAAATCCAGGTGAGAATTCAGGCCTGAGCTTCAGGCAGACTGAAGCCAGGTACGGCTTATGGGTCTTCATTGGAAGACAAGGTTGCTATGAATAGAGATTTTTTTTTTTTTTTGCGGAACCGGGGAGAGAGGGCGGAGGTGATATGGGCGTGGCTTCCTCAAGCCACACCTTGGGGCGGGGTCGAGCCCAAGCTTTCTGAGAGGAGGCGGAGCCTCTCAAACGCCTTCTGTTCAGGACCTCCTGAGAGCTTCAAGTGGACGAAGCTAGTGCTCTTTGCCTCTTTCCCCTTAGAATGGCGCATGCTGAAGAACCGGACTTTTCTGGGCTCCATATCGCAGCAGAACATCCGCTCCAAGCAGCGTCCTCGGATCCAGGAGTTGGGGAACCTGCACAGCCCGGGCTCCAAGGCACCTGAGGGAGGGTGAGCCTTCAGGGATCCTTAATGACTCCCAGCACTCTTCTGAACCCCTTTGATCCTGCCAGCCCACAGCGGGCCCTGGGAGCCAGGAAAGATGGCGGAACGCCTGCCTTGGGAGCCTCCTGTGGCCTGCACTGTGGGGAGCAGAGGGGACACTGCTGCCTGCGCCCTCCCTTGTTCCCTCAGTCCTGTCCTCCTCCGTCCTCAGCCCCGAGAAGCCGCACTTAAGTCTTTGGCTGGAGGCCCCCGACCTCCTCTTGGCTGAAATTGACCTCCCCAAACTGGTGAGCAGGCCAGGAGGGGTGGGCTTAGGGGCTGGGACCCGGGGCTCCTGTGAGCTGCACCCGCTCAGGCCTCATTCAACACACGTGGCTCACGTGCGTGGGCTGAGTCTGCCACCTTTCCAGGATGGAGCCCTGGGGCTGTCGCTGGAGATTGGGGAGAACCGCCTGGTGATGGGGGGCTCCCAGCAGCTGTATCACCTGGATGCCTACATCCCCCTGAGGATCAACTCTGAGGCGAGCAAGGCAGCCTTCCACTGGAAGCGAAAGGTCAGGTCCCTGGAGGGGTCTAGGGACCTGGATCTGAGGGAGGAGGCTGGGCCAGACACACACACACACACACACACACACACACACACACACACCCTGTCTGGAGGTGGGGGGTGGGGCTGGACTTGGTCCTGAATCCTCATTGTCTTTTTCCCTCAGCAACTGATGGTGGCCATGCCCCTTCTATCGGTGCCTTCTTAACCAGAGTGTCTCCCTGTCTTCGCAAATGGAGAAGAGACGGGTGAATCCCAAAATAGAAATAAAAGAGTTTTGCCTTGCTTCTGACTCTGGCTAGGGATGGGGGACAGTTGGGAAATTGGCAGCAAGAAGACACAGGGCCTCGAGTCCCCTAAAAGTCCCCAGCCCAGCCCAGGCCTCACCCTGTACCCGTGTGCCTGTGCCCACTTTCTGGCCTCCTTGCCAGCTTGCCTGAGGTGCCGGGATGCGCTTGCCCTTCCTCTGCGCAGCCCCCTGGGCTCCCTCTCACCCCTTGCAGAAGGTGTGGCCCCTCAGTTGAGCACTCAAGGCTCCTTGGAGTTTGGACTCCTTCCTGCCTGCAAATGAGCTGGCCTATACACCGGGGTCGCACTCAGCCAGGAAGCTGTCGTCTGCCCGTGCAGGTCTTGCCTTCCCAACAGGCATTTCTGGTCCATCGTCAGCTACAGCAGCTGCCCAGTCCGAGCTTCAGTCCCAGTTCCTGGAAACTGGCTGCATCAGTCATACCAGCCTCTAGGCCTCTGCCACCAGCTCTGGGCTACCTCCTGGCTTTACTTGGGGTACAAGTCCCTACCTATCCTTAGGTCTATCCCCCCTTGTTGCTGCTGGGATGGTAACTAGGGCCTGGTTTAGTTCACTGAACTAAACAGCTTGCTCTTCCCAGCCCTGTTGAGCTACAAATCCCCTGCCCTTTTAAATTTTGAGAAGTGATCTCATTAAGTTGTACAGGCTGGGTTCGAACTTTCTAATTCTCCTGCTTCAGTCACCCCGCACTCCCAGAGTGGGGGACGTAAAGTCTGTGCCATGAAACCTGGCTCCAATTTCATATTTTGGTCTCTGGCTGAGTAAGAATCTCCCTGTAATGGAACAGCGCCTGGCACATAGTAGGCTGGGTTTATGAATGACCAAAGGTCTCCGTCCGCGGTGAGTCCAAGGGATAAGGGAGCGGATGAACTTCAGGGAGGAGGCCAGTGTAGCTGGAGCGTAGTGAACAGGGGCCAAGAAGCTAAGACCAGTCGGCCGAGTGAGGAGAGAATGAGCGGAATGTCCACCAGAGGGCGCAACACGACCCGGGTTCATCCGCTCCGAGAACTACATCTCCCAGCAGCCCTTCCTCAGCCTTAACATACGAATGGTACCCTAATTGTGTGTCCCAACTGCCTCTGGGACTTGTAGTTGCGATGGAGACTCGGCAGTCGAATTCAATCCCAAGACCGGAAAAAGCTTGAGGCTGGGTCTTTTCTTCCTTCTTCTGTCTCCATGGTGATGGTTCCAGCGAGGACCAGGATTTGGCATTGGCGGGGCCCCCTTCCCACTCCCTCCTCTTCACCATCTGCTCCTCCAGCACACCTGGCCCGGAGCCGGGGCCGCCGCCTCCGCGCTGAGCGTGGGACTTTCTCGCCACGGGGTGGCGCGCTCGAGCGGTTCCTCGACTGCTCCTCAGCCCCGGGCGTCCCGGGCCCCACCACCTCCTCCTGCGGCCACCTCCAGCCACCTCCTCCAGGGTATCCGGCGTTTTCGCAACCATAGACAACGCTGAGGCAACCCAGGGTCCCAGCTAGGTCAGGCTGGAGGAGACAGGCCACGGGGCTCAGAGGCTTCTCGGCTTTCCGGCTCCTGCCCGCCGCGCAGTCTGCTTCTTTTTCCCCCTTGCGGGCCGCTTCATAAAAATTTAATCCCAAATGCATTTGCCACCCGGCGCTGGGAGCCGGTGGGGAAGAAGCATACTTCTGGGGCTGGGACCTGGAGCCAAACTGAACCAGGACAAGGGCTGAAGTGCAGGCCACAGCGGGCACACCCAAGGGCGGAGCTGGAGTGAAAGGGGTGGAGTCAGCGCTCAGAGGGCGGGAACACATCCCCGGGTCCCGGAGAACTAGGGAGAGGGACTTACTCAAGGGATAGGGAACACATCCCGGAGGCCAGAGGGCAAACAAGGGGCTGGGGGCGGGGACAGAATGCAGAGGCGGAGCCCCAGCTCAGGAGGGTGGGAACAGACTCTAAGGGCTGAGCAGCTCCCAGCCGGCTCAGAACTCCGCATGGACAGAGCCCTTGGAGGGGGCCAGAACCCCGAGTCGGGAGCAAACGGCAGGGTCGCAGCGGACAGTGGGGGTGGATATAGCTTTAGGGAATGAGGTTCAGAGGGAAAGAAATGGGGGTGGAATGAAACTCAGGGAGAGCAGGCACGGGCCAAGGATGGGAAAGACAGAAGCGATGGAGCACAAAGGTGGAGAAAGTGGGTAAGGGGAGGGAAAAGAAGAGAACAATGGATGCGTAGACGTAGGAGCTAGAATTGAGAGGGAAAGAATTTCTTGAAGAGGAAGATGTCTGCATGAGAACGTGGGACTGCAGACGACACGAGATGGGCACCGAACTGGGGGGCAAGGGTGGGGGCGCTGAGGCCGGGCGGACACAACACAGAAGGACGCGCCGAGGAAGATGGACCCAGAGGAGATGGAAACGTGGGAGATTAGCAGGGCTTGAAGTGGGGTCCTCAAACCATGGAGAAAAGAACTCAGGTCGGAAGAGAAAATCTGGGTGCAAGAAAGGACCTAAGAAGGATAGCACGCGGGACTAACTTTGGGAAGACACTCAAGTCATGGGCGCTGTGACTCCGAGAAAATCCGAGGTGTGGACTGGGGATGGACCGTGCAAGCTGAGCGAGGCCCGGCAGGCTGCAAAGGGGGCGGGCCTAGCGCATGAGGGGTGGGGTCGCAAGGGGCGGTGCCTCGCCGCTCCCGGCCCCGCCCCCGGCGCTGCCTAGCAAGCCAGCTCCCGGGCAGCGCCACTTGCAGCCTCCTTCCCCCCGAGCGGAGCTGCGGGGCCGGCCGGGCCGGGGCGGACCCCGGGGACCCGGACGCGGCCGCCCGGGCCCGCGCGCGGGGGGATCGGCGCGGCAGGGGCGGCCACCATGGAGTTCCGCCAGGAGGAGTTTCGGAAGCTGGCGGGTCGCGCCCTCGGGAGGTTGCACCGGTGAGCCTGGGGGGGATCGTGGGAGGGGAAGCGTGCGGGTCGGAGGAGGGCACTGACCCCCACTGGGGACAGGCGGTCCCGGCAGGCGCGTGCGTGCCGGATCCCCCCCATCTACCCGGTCTCTCGCTCGGGTCCGACGGTGCAGTCCTGCCGTCCACTCATGTCCAGAACCGCTCATTTTTCTGCAGCTCACCCCACTCGGGCTCCGCTCTTCCTCTGGGACTGGACACCCGCTCCGTCTTTGCCCACCTGCCTAGGTCTTCTTGTTCCCCCTACCCTTGCACCCCTGTGTCTGGATGTCTCTTCCATTTATCTCTGGGTCTCTGCCCTCTCTTCTGGGTCTCTGTCTCCTGCCTGGGATCTGTCACCTGCCTCCGGGTTTCTGGTCATCACTCTCACTAAATCTCCACCAGCTGCTGACTCGGAGCCTCTTTCCACCTTCTTTTCTTTGAGTCCCATTTCTTGGGGGTCTCTGTCCCCCTCTGTCTTTGGATTTCTGTGGTTTTCTCTGGGTAGCTCTGTCTCCATCTCTTTCCTTTCTCCGGGTCTTTCTACGTTTCTGTCTGTCAGGGCGTTTAATCTGCAGCTAAAGCGGATTGGGGCCCATTGGCCCTTGTCCTTGAGGGGGGTTAAGCTGGGAGGAAGAAGCCAGGGTGTCCCGGGTCCCTGGCTGGGGGAAGGGAGTTGCAGGCTGAAAAATTAAGAAAAGACTTCTCAGAGGATGCAGGCTGGAGCTGCACAGGACTTCCCTCCAGCCGTGGCAGTGACCTCAGCAACCTGGGTGTCCCTCCCAGGTACTCTGGACATCACCCCATCTCTCACCCCCAACCCCAGTTCTGGCTCCAAGTCAGAAAAATTACTCAGCTGCGGAAAAACCTAAAAATATCTGGCCACAGAACGGGGAGGAGACGCCTCGTCAGCGCCCTGCCCCTGCTGCCTGCCCTCAGACCCTGTCCTGTAGGCCTACCGCCCTGATCTCACCTTTGGTGACCCTCAGTCCATCTCACTAGGCCATCCGAGTCCTTTCCTAAGTCTAACGCGAGTCCTGCTTGCTGCAGTTCACCTGCTGTTTCCAAAGTTACCCCACCCTGTAGTAACAGGAGAGACAGGAGTCAGGCTGGGAAGAAGATGGCCTGAGGGAGGAGACCAGGCCTGAGGATGGCGCAGTGTGTGGGGGGCGGTGGAGGGAGAGCTGAGATAACTTCACCCCTTCTTTTTCCAATTTCCTAGCCCCTCCCCACCCTTTTTCTCGCCTCCTTTCACGAGTTTCTCAAAATACATCAGTGCGAAGTCAGGAGAGCGGGAGAGATGCGCAGACAGCGGGGGCTGGGGGCAGCAGTGGAAGGGTGTGCGCCTCGGCCCCTCCCTGAGCCTCTGCTTCCCAGCTGCTTGTCTGGGGCTGGGCTTCTCTGGCTATTGAAGCCTCACCCTTACCTCTCTGAGGGGCCCCCTGGAGCCCAGGGACCCCAAAGCTCAGAGCCTCAGCCAGGAAAGTCAGCCAAAGCCATGGGATAGGGTTCCCTTGGGTAGCTGGGGAGGAGGGAAGCCCCATATAACTCTCCAGACCAAACTGGGAGACTGAGACCCAGCGTGGGGGTGAGAGGATCAGTGACTGAATACAAGGCCCATCATTTCAACCCAGATCAGTTCTCCCCAAGCCTGGGGCAGCTGTTGCAGATCTTCCTGAAGATGCGTGATGCTGGTGTAGGCCTCATACTCTCTTGGACCAGGAAACAAATGGGAACCCAGGGCGACACAGGACAAGGCCATAGAGGAGGGTGTGCAGGACTCAGGTCCTCCTGAGCACCAGGAAGGGTTCAGGCCCCGCTGCATTCTTGGGCATGACCTTGGCCAATACACTTGTGCTTGCTGAGCCTGTTTCCTCAGCTGAACACTGGGAAGATAAGAGGGAACCAAGAGGACATATGGGTACCACGTATGGTGTGGTGCATGACTGTGATCCCAGCACTTGAGAGGCTGAGGCAGGAGGATCTCCATGAGGCCAGCCTGGGCTACAGAATGAGACCTTTCCTTTGGGGGAGTACTGGGAACCAAACTCAGGACCTTATGCTTGCCAGGCAGGTGCTGGACCACTGAGCTATTTCCCCAGCGTGAGAACTTGTGTTAACAAACAAAAAGAGATAAGGGGACAGAGACTTGGAGATTGGACAGAGATTCTGAGGCAGGGCAAAGGAGACTCCTGTTAATGTTGTATATTTTTTCATCTCCAAATTTCCAGGCCTAAGTTTGGGTATCCAGGGCAGGGAGGGTGAGGAGACTCTCTGTGCTGTTATCTCACCCTTCACCTTGGCCTTCTCCCTTCAGGAAGTTGCGTGTTTTCCCTTGCCCCCATTCTATGGATGTGGAACACCGAGACCCCATAAGCACCAAACTCCAGGAGCTGCCATCACTTCTTGATTTTCAGGGTGGAATGTTACCAGCAGCACTGTGGGCTGCCTCACTGGCTGGCCTATTCTGATAGGGGCTTGAGGGGCATCCCTGTCCTCCCCGCTGCCCCGTAGGACTCATTCGGGTGGTGTCTGTTCTCCTGTTGCCTCTGCTCCCTTCTCAGGGTCTCATTCCTCTTCCACCTGGTGCTGTCCACACTTCCCTGTCTTCCCACTCCTTCCTTAACTGCCCCTCCACCGCCCTAGGTTCTCGGGCAGGGAGGGGTGGCTGTGTTCTCCAATCTCTCCCACCTCCCTCCCCCCAGACCGTCTGGCTGTTCTTTCCTCCCCCGCCCCAGTCTCCCTCGCCTCCATCTGTTCCAGCCCCTTCCTGGGCTCCAGCCCGATACCCGGGCTGCCTACCCGCCTCGGAGCGAGCAGGCCACACCTCACACCACCTCCCATCCCCAGCCTCTGCCTCCTGTCTCATCTCTCCATCTTTCAGCCCTTTGGGGCTCTTCCCCTCCCTCTGCAGCTGTGTCCTGTTTACGGGGTTTCTGTCCCTACCTCACTTTGCATCTCTGCCTCCCTCTGGGTCTCTCTCACTCTCTCTGGGTCCCTGTCTCACTCTTTTTGGGGTTCAGTGCCCCCTTCTCTCTGGATCCTGCCATTTTTCCCTCCTTTTGTATCTCTACCCCTCTGTCTCTGTGAGTCTCTGTGGAAGCCTCATCTCTGTCACCCTCCTTTCCCTATGGCACCTCTCTCCCTGCAGCCTCTCCCTGGGTCTGAGGTGGCCTCCAAGTGGCCCATCCATCATCTCAGACTCCATCCTGCACGAAGCACGGGCGGGGGCGAGAGCCACGCTGGGGAATGAGCCAATCTCCCTACCAGGGCCATCTGTCCCCTGCCAGGACACCACCCACCACTCTCCGTCCCTGCCCCCTAGGCGGACAATCTGAACTCCGGGCTCCCCAGGGATGCCCAGCCTGGGCTACTGGATTCCAGGGCCCGCTGCCCTGTCCCCACCCCCGCATCCCCCGGAATGGGCTTCTGGTGGCCTCAGTGGCGTCAGCTGTTGGCAGCCTCACACCTGGGTCCGCGGCAGGCAGGGTGCGCCCTGGGGGCTGCAGAGGGCGGTATATATGGTATATATATAGCCGACCTAGCTGGGAAGCAGCTGTTCCTCTGTCACCTTTGCTGAGGCCTCTCCTTAGCACCTTTCGCTTCCTCAAATAGACTCGATCTGGGAGAGGGGGCTGGGGAAACTCTGGGATGGGGGTGGGGGGCACAGGCTATGGATCCCAACGCTGGTGATGACAGGATCGGAGAAAGAGGGCTGGGATCCTGAATTCCTGGTTTGAGGGAGCTGGACCTGGGGTGGAGATTCGTGGAGTCTGGGAGAAGACATCCTGGAACCTGGGCTTCTGGGGAGGACGAGGCTGTGGGCTTAGGATTCTAGGTCCTGGAGAGCGCCAGGGATGCGCTGTGGTGCAGAAGAAGCGGGCTGGGGGCTCGGCCTGCTGAGTTCTTCACTCTTGCCGCAGCCTCCTGGAAAAACGGCAGGAAGGTGCGGAGACTCTGGAGCTGAGCGCTGACGGACGCCCGGTGACGACGCAGACCCGGGACCCGCCGGTGGTGGACTGCACCTGCTTTGGCCTCCCTCGCCGATACATTATCGCCATCATGAGTGGCCTGGGCTTCTGCATCAGCTTTGGCATCCGCTGCAACCTGGGCGTGGCCATCGTGTCCATGGTCAACAACAGCACTACCCACCGCGGGGGCCACGTGGTGGTGCAGGTAGCTGTGGGCGGAGCCGCGCCTACTGACGTCACGCTCGCGCGCACTCCGCCCAGGCCACGCCCCTTACTTATACCCACCCGTGGCCCCGCCCACCCGTATTGCACTTCAGCTCTGACCTCACCTCTGGGCTCCTGTTAAGCTCTGCCCTGATCTAAATGAAGCTCCGCCCCTATTTCGGGTCCTAGATTTAGACAAGTAGACTCCGCCTGGCCATGAGGTCCTCTATGTTTATTTCCTCTCTATTTTGAACCTACCAGCAATTTCATTCAAGCTTGTGACCCATGCTCATGTCCCTGGCTCACATCCACTTAATCCCAATCCTAAATTCCTTGCTGCATTTTGATCCTGGCTTCTTTTCGGAAGCACTAAGGATGGAAGCCAGGGCTTTGTGCATGCTAGGTAAGCACTCAGCCGCTGAGCTACACCCCCAGCCCTTTTTGGTTTGAGACAGCCGCTCTGTAAATGGCCCAGGTTGGCCTCCTACCTCGGCCTCCCAAGTAGGAGGATTACAGGTGTCTGCTAAGCTGATTCTGGCTTTTCTGAAGACTTGCTATTCAAAGTCCTAGGGCATTGCAGAATTTCCATGCTTAAGTTTAGTACTGTAGAAACCACACTCTTGGCCTATCTGAAGCCTATCCTTCCTTCCAGTCAGGATGGTCCCTAATTTATCAGGGGCTTTAAGGCAAGGAAGCAGGCCCCACCAGGCATCTAGGCAGCACAGGCCCCGTTGTTAAGGTGGTAGCACTGGCCCTAGCATCCTGAGGAACGGAGTGGGCCACTGGAGCTGGCGCAAGCACTGATTGGCAAGTTTTCTGGAGGCGTGAGAGGGCCCTTGTTGATGATTGGCTGGAGTACTACATTTGTGGGTTCCTGATTGGTGGAGGGCAGAGGCAGGGCGGCTTTTTTGCTAAGGTCTTTTTGAGACAGGGTATCTCACTATGCCTTTCAGGCTGGTCTTCAGCTCACTTTGTAACCCAGTCTGGTCTCAAACTCGTGACTGTCCTCCTGCCTCATCTCTGAGTGCTGGGATTACAAGTATGTACCACCATGCCTGGTCAGGGCAGCTCGTTTAATGTGCCTTTTGGTCCACAGAAAGCCCAGTTCTCCTGGGATCCAGAGACTGTTGGCCTCATACATGGCTCCTTTTTCTGGGGCTACATTGTCACTCAGATTCCTGGAGGATTTATATGCCAAAAATTCGCAGCCAACAGGTACGTTGGTGGGTCTCAAGATGGGCAGGAACTACAGTTATGTGGTGGAGTTAGTGTGATTTAAAGTTGGGGGGGGCCTGATTTTGAGAAAACAGGAGAGGCTTGGGTTGGGGGCTGGGCCAGGTGGGAGTCCCCAGAAGGTGGTGTCCTGGGAAGGGCAGAATCCTACGAATAGAAGGGTAGCTGGACCCGTTTCTTCCCCCTTCATATCAGGGTTTTCGGCTTTGCTATTGTGGCCACTTCCACGCTAAACATGCTGATCCCGTCGGCCGCTCGTGTCCACTATGGCTGTGTCATCTTCGTGAGGATCCTGCAGGGGTTGGTAGAGGTAAAGCCCAGCCTCTCACGACCCGGCCCACCCCTTGACCCGGCCTCTTCTCGTTGATCTGGGTTTTCTCTTCCCCAGGGGGTCACATACCCCGCGTGCCACGGGATCTGGAGCAAATGGGCCCCACCCTTAGAACGGAGTCGCTTGGCCACGACAGCCTTTTGCGGTAAGAGGGAGAAGGGGACACATCTGTGAGTGAGGAAAGGGCCTGTGCCTGTGCCTCTGTGTCCCAGAAAGGTGAGGGCTGGGGTGGGGGTGGGGTTCTTCAAGGATCCAGAGAAGATGGGTGTTCTCTGCTCACTCCCGCCCCCCTTAGGTTCCTATGCTGGGGCGGTAGTTGCCATGCCTCTCGCTGGGGTCCTGGTTCAGTATTCAGGATGGAGCTCTGTTTTCTACGTCTATGGTGAGGGACCAGGACCCCTGGTTACGGGTGGCTCTGGGTCGGAGCGGGACCTGTTGTCACCGTGCTCCCATCGCCCTCCTGATGTCCCCCCTTCAGGCAGCTTCGGGATCTTCTGGTACTTGTTTTGGTTGCTTGTCTCCTACGAGTCCCCTGCCCTGCACCCCAGCATCTCAGAGGAGGAACGCAAGTACATCGAGGATGCCATTGGGGAGAGCGCCAAGCTCATGAACCCCCTCACGGTCCGAGCCAAGTCTACAAGGAGGGGTGGGGGGCATAGCGGGGCTCGAGCTTGCACCCCATGTAGATCCTGGCCGGGTCCTATAGACTCTTAGAGGAAACAGGATTGAACCGAAGAAAGATAGGGGTGGGGGGATAGAACTTGAGAACCTGCTAGGGCCTGGGGGAGAGCTTGGCAGGGGAGGTGAAACCGGAAGCACGGACGAGGTGTGGTTAAAAGTGGAGGAGACAGAATTAGAATGTGGCTGGACATGGTAGCACACACCTGTGATCCCCACACTCGGGAGGGTGAGGCAGGAAGATTAGGGATTCCAGGGCAGCCAGGCGTACATAGTGAATTCAAGGTCAGCCTGGAAGACGTACAGAGGCCCATTCTCAAAAAACAACCATTCCTCTGGGTGAGTGAGGCTGCACTTAAGGAACGTGATTGAATCGTGAGAGATTCCTGGGTTCACATGTATGAGTCGCTGAGGGTCACTATGAGGCCCAGACACCTTCAAACCTGAAGGGTCGCTGTGAGCCCAGCTCCAGCGCTGCAGCCCTGAAATGTCACGGTGGGTCTGCCGGGCACCTGACGTGCCTGACGCCCTTGGGTCCCTGGAGTCTCAGTGAGATCAGGGGCCTGGGTCTTGGCGCGAGTCCAGGGAGGTTCCCAAAGGACCTGGCGAAGTTCCCTCCGCCACTCCGTCTCAGAGGCCCCTTCCACCCCCAGAAGTTTAACACCCCCTGGCGGCGCTTCTTCACGTCCATGCCAGTCTACGCCATCATCGTGGCCAACTTCTGCCGCAGCTGGACATTCTACCTGCTCCTCATCTCCCAGCCCGCCTATTTTGAAGAAGTGTTCGGCTTCGAGATCAGCAAGGTAGGGCCCAGCAGGCAGAGGAGAAGAGACCGGGACGGGGCCCGCGCGGCGACGCAGAGAGCAGAGACCCGAGTGGCAGCCGCTGAAGCCCATCCCGCAACCCTGTACCCTGCTCCTGCAGGTGGGCCTGGTTTCGGCGCTGCCCCACCTGGTCATGACCATCATCGTGCCCATCGGCGGCCAGATCGCCGACTTCCTGCGGAGCCGCCGCATCATGTCCACCACCAATGTGCGCAAACTGATGAACTGCGGCGGTGAGTGGGCGTGGCCAGGGCGTGGCCAGGGCGGCCTGGGTGGAGCAGAGCTTGGTAGAGCAGAACCAATGGTCGGGCCGAGGGGGCGTGGGGTATGGTCAAGGATGAAGTTGATTGGACGGAGCCAGAGTGAGGGCGGGGCAGCGCAGATCTCGACCAGAGCTTAGGCCGAAGTGTGGGATGATCCGTCCGCGGATCGAGTTGAAGGTGTAAGAGTGAGGCTTGCATGGGGCTGCGCGGAGCAGGCCATGGACTAGGGAGAAAGAGGAACTGTGAGTTGGGGTCTAGAGAGGACGAGCCGCCAATCGAGTAGCAACAGAGAGAAACCGTGAAAGGTACACAGATCGGGTTTGGATCCCGGATCTCCAGCGCTGGGCCCATAGAGGGCCCGCTTTGGGTACAGGTGGCGGGATCGTGGGCGGAGCTGCTGGAATGAAGGGCGATGCCCGGACCTAGGGGCGTTCAGCATACCCGGCCCTCTGCAGGCTTTGGCATGGAAGCCACACTTCTGCTGGTGGTCGGCTACTCTCACTCCAAGGGAGTCGCCATCTCCTTCCTGGTTCTCGCCGTGGGCTTCAGCGGCTTCGCCATCTCGGGTGAGAAGCGCAGATCTATACTTGGCGGCTCTGCTCAGCTCGGGATGGGGCTCCCTACCTTGCTAAAGTGCACCCACAGAGGGTGTCAGGAGTGTCCTAGTGTGATGCCTCCTGCCTTTCCCCTGCCAGGGTTCAACGTGAACCACCTGGACATCGCCCCGCGCTACGCCAGCATACTCATGGGCATCTCCAACGGCGTGGGCACACTGTCGGGCATGGTGTGCCCCATCATCGTGGGTGCCATGACCAAGCACAAGGTGGGCACCCGCCGGCCCCCACTGCACCCTGCTTCTCTGGTCCCTTCTTTGACACCATCCCTGTGGTTCCCCACAGACGCGGGAGGAGTGGCAGTATGTCTTCCTCATTGCTTCCCTGGTGCACTACGGGGGCGTCATCTTCTACGGGGTCTTCGCTTCCGGAGAGAAGCAGCCATGGGCCGAGCCAGAGGAGATGAGCGAGGAGAAGTGTGGCTTTGTTGGCCACGACCAGCTGGCTGGCAGTGACGAGAGTGAAATGGAGGATGAGGCCGAGCCCCCCGGGGCTCCTCCTGCCCCACCTCCTTCCTATGGGGCCACACACAGCACAGTTCAGCCCCCAAGGCCCCCACCCCCTGTCCGGGACTACTGACCGTGTGCCTCCCACTAAATGGCAGTTCCAGGACCTCCTCCATACAACTCTCTGGCCTGAATGACAGTGTCAAGGGACCCCCCAGTCCTCTCTGTTCTGCTTCGGGCCTAAGAAGTACTCTTCCTTGTTCCCAGTGCTGTCAAAACCTCTTCCCTTCCCAACTGCCTCTCAGGGGTAGTGAAGCCACAGTCTGATGGTTTTAAGGACACCCGAATTCCCTAAAGTTTCCCTTCTCAGTTTGTGCTGCCTCAGTGGTTTCAAATCTCTCCTTTCAGGGCTTTATTTGAATGGACAGTTCAACCTTGTACTGTGTGGTTTTGAGGCAACTTCCTCTTTCCTCTCACCCAGGGATTCTCAGGGTGATCCCTGAGATTACTCAGTGCCCCTCTCAGAAAAATTTAAGGCCCTCCTCTAGAAGTTCCAAATCTCTCCTGACTCTCTCTTGCATCTTCCAGGTTGGATTAACCTATCACCCATCCCCGCCATTCCAGGGATTGATTCTCACCAGCGTTTCTGAGGGAAAATGGCGGTTTCAAGCCCCCCTCCCCCCAGCAGGTTCTGCTGAAGCACCAGGTTTCCCCATCTTATCCCTAGCTTTGTGCCACGCCTAGGGAAAACAACCAAAATGGTCATTTCAATAATATGCCTCTCTCCACCCCATGCACTTTCTCTGACACAGTTTTCAGGTCTAAATAGTGGCTGTTCAAGTCTATTAATTCAGTGGTTTGAAACCACCACCTTTGAACTTCCCCCTGGTGGTTTCTAGATGCCCCTCTTCTGCCCAATTCCTTGCACTTTATTCTCCCGGGTAGTTTCAGACTACCCTCAGTTTCTCAGTGGCCATTTGTTGTGTCCCGAAGGGGCTAAATGATGTAAAAGTCTGGGGTTCTTCCCCTCTCACACAACCCCCCTTCAGCCTAGAAATTGGGAACATAGGTAGAAGTCACAGAATCCCAGGAAAGAGAAGGGGGATGGGGAGAGGGGTGTTTATCCTTGGGCAGGGCTGTGTCTTGGTGTCTCTGTCTCTGTGACTGTAAATCCTGCCCAGCCCCACTCACAATAAAAAACTTTGGTGTACACTGAGTGATCACTGACTGGGTCACAGGAGTGCTGGCCCTAACCTCCTCCCTCAGACCCGGGGGTCCAGGCCCAGCCTCCTCCCTCAGACCCGGGGGTCCAGGCCCAGCCTCCTCCCTCAGACCCGGGGGTCCAGGCCCAGCCTTTTTCCTCAGATCGGGCATCCCAGCTCCTAGCCCTTTTCTCCCTCCAAAGGGAAAATCAAACCTCTGAGCCTCAATCCCAGCAGACCCTGAGCCCAGGGTCTGACCCACCCCCCACTGGAGGAGGCCTCGCAATGAGAACATCCGGTTTATTCAGCCATGTTCTGCAATTGCCACGAAAGCATCTGTTGGACCCTTTCTCCAAGAGGCCCACTAAGTAGCAAAGCATCAGGACAGGGCACAGGCGTCTCCTTTCTCTTATGAGTGTACAGGCCTGGAGGGACCAAAGGGGCTCACACAAAGTTGTTGGGGAGCGTTTCCGGGGACAGCGGCTCTAGGCGCTGGGGGCGTCCCCCACGGGGCGGTGGGGGAAGCTTGGGTGGCAGCGGGGGTGTGGGCGGCGGCTGCTTGGTGGAAATGTGCGAAGGGACCCAGGCATCTGGCGCATAAAAGTAGAGGTCATAGGGCTCCTTCGGGGCGTCCAGATGCATAACTGTGGGAGCAAAGGGAAGGGGTCATCCCCAGCCTGACCGGGCCTGCCCGACTGCTGAGCCTCTGGCCAATGAGGAGGCCGGGATAGGGGATCCAGATTATCACTTGAATTGGTTTTTTAAAGAAAAGCTTGAAGCCCCTTGAATAAATGAGGAGGCGTGGTGAGCCCAGGAGGGGCGGGGCCTAAGGCGAGGGTGGGGTCTCCGGGCGGAGGAGCGGGCTCCGGATTGGCCCGGGGGCTCCGCGACCGGCTCTCAGGGTTCCAGGCATTTTTCACCTGGGCTGGAACCGACCTGGGCATGTGTGTGACATCTTAGGTCCTTAGGGACAGACGCGATCACGGAGGGGTCAAGCCTTTCACGGATTGGATGGTGGACCTGTACTTGTTTTCTGGAGCCAGAAAGTGGCCAGCAAGAACAGGATAAACAAAAAACAGACCAACAAACAAAAAAACCCAACAACAAAAATAGAGCAGGATAAAGAAGCGGGTAATCAAGGACACGCATCACTCACCCGGGTCGTCTCCACTGTCTGGGAGCCGGTGGTGTGCGAAGGGCCGGTGTCGGGCAGCCCGGCGGTAGAGACACCACATCAGCAGGATGAGGAGGATCAAAAGTCCAGTCCCAGCAAAGAACAGGCACAGGGCGCCTCCAGTCGAGCCACGTGGGCGCCCCACCAGAGTCACACCTGTGGAAGGAGCGCAGTGACTCGAGATCGCAGCCCACTCTTCCCTCAGACCTAGGGGTCGGGGCCCAGCCTCCTCCCTCAGGCCCACTTCCAACCCCACCCCTCACCAGTCTCTTTCACGTGCTCCACCACGATGATAGTATTGACTCTTTCACCTCGGCTGCGCCGCTGTGGAGCCCGAGGAGTTACAGGGAGCAGCTGACTGGGGGACTCTGGAGGGGCACGGGGGCCAACGACCCGGGCTGAGGGCGGAGGGGTGCTTGGCTCTTTGGGCTCAGAGTTTCTGGCGACCTTCGGCTCAGGAGTCCCTGGAGAATCTGAGGTGGGCAGTTGAGAGGCCTCAGGCTGGGTGGCCGTGAGGGTGGGATGGGGACTTAGGTGCAACTCACTGAGGACAGTGGCTTCATCCTTGAAGGGCAAAGGGGTTTCAGGGTGAAGACTAGTGGAGACTTCAAGGGCTGAGGTTTTGGGGATCCTGGTCGCATTCTGATGGTGGGCTGTGGGAAGCTCTGTCTGGGGTGTTTTGGTGGGGCTGGGGTGATAGGTCTGATGGGTCTCTGGGTGGAGGGTCACAGTGGGGTCAGGATGGATGGTCAGGGGGAACTGAGAGTTTGAGGTCTCATTGGTGCCAAGATCATGGGTTGTGAGAGATTTGATGTCAAGAGGCTTGGTGGGGTCAGGGCTTTTAACATCTGAGATTTCTGTCATGTTAAGTGTGGGGACCTCTGGGGGTTCTTGGTGTGCGGTCTGCATAGGGTTAGTATTGAGCATCTCAGGATATTCTGCAGGTGTTGGTTTTGAGTGACTAGGTTTGGGGGTCTCAGAAGACCCAAGGTGTGGAGTGTCTGTCAGAGCAGGGTCGGGGGTCTCAGAAGGCTCTGGGTGTGTTCCTTTGGAGGGGTTCGTGTGGCGGCTGTCCAGGAATTCTGATACTGAGGTTGTGAGTGGGTCAAGCTGGGGAGTCTCAGCAGACTGTGGGTGTGGGGTTTCTAGATCAGGCCTGGGGGTCTCAGTGATCTCAAGGGGGGTAACCTCAGGGGAAATTGCATGAGATATGTTGGGGGGCTCAGGACGGACAGTTCCAGGGAATTGTGGGTTAGCCCAGTCTTCAGTGGCGATTTCAGAAGCGCCAAGGGAGGTCGCCTGGGAGTGACCAGTCCCCTGGAAATCGGAGCCCGCCGGCGGCGGAGAGGCGGAAGGTTCGGCCTGGGAGCCCAGGAGGGTGAGAAGGAAGACCAGGAGGAAGAGGATCCGACTGAAGAACTTCATAGTGCTCGGAGATGCCACTAGCTGTGAGGGGAAAGCAGGAAAGGACTGGTTAAATGCAAATCCTCCCGGAGTCCCGCCTACTCCGTGAGGCCCCGCCCACACCCCAGAGGCCAGTCCGCCGCTCTGGTTCCCAGGTGAACGGGTCCATCCGGGCCCTCCCTGCTTGGTGCCAGAGAAGGGCGCAGAGCCCCACTGCAACTGCCAGAGCTAAGGGAGTAGCGAAGGGAGGCAGCGGTACCGGCTTGGGAGGAACAGATACTTTCCTTGTTTCCTTGAGGAATCCCAGAACAACTGAGAACAGAACAACTGGAGTCCAGTTTTGGAGGGTGTCAGTTCTCTAGGGACAGGGGTCACCCTCATCTCCCAGGGCCCCCCAGACACTAGACTCAAGGTTCTGTACACCAGAGAAGGCTCTGAAGGAACAACTGTGGCTGGCATCTGGCATCTGGGGGAGGAGCTCTTCTGGCCCCAGGGTAGGAAGGTTGCTGGGGGTACAGACTCTTAGGTCCCTTAGGGAGCGGGGCTGGGGTCTACGTCCCTGGCGCTTTCGAGAGGGTAGCAACCTGAGTGTTCAGATGTCTGCGCTTTCCGAGGAGTGTTGGTGGCCTGGGTCTTGGTCCTGGGCCCTGAGTTACAAGGGGTTGAAAAGTTCCGAGTCGGGGCTGGAGAGATGGCTCAGTGGTCTAAGGCACCTACTTAGAACAAGCTTGGCAAAGCATCAGGGACCGCGGTTCAATCCCCCAGCACCACATGCCAGCCAGCCCCGCCCCCCTGGTGGGCTGAGCTGGCCACACACCACACACACTCTCGCTCTCTCTCGCTCTCGCTCTCGCTCTCTCTCTCAAATATATAAAAAAAAAAAGAAAAGTTCCGAGTCCTCCAGCAATGGGGGCCTCAGCTCCGTAGCCTGGTGTGGGAACTCTGGGATCCTTGTTTACTGAGGATGCAGCGGACTCTCAGCCTCCCAGGGGGCTGTTCTGAACACACCCATAGTCTGGGGGGAGGGGAGGGGGAGGAGGCAGGTGTCTGTATGGGACAGCTTGCTGGGGGCCTGGGCTCTCTTACCTGCTCAGTGGGGTCCGGGTAGCAGCAGGTGAGCAGAGCTGGATGCAGAAACAGGTGAATGCTGCAGACTGACTCTGGGAGGGGCAGCATTGGGTCCCATAGGTGCACAGGTGACGCACCTGACCCTCTCCCTTGGGATCCTGGGAGCCTAGCAACCCAATGAGCCTCTTAAAGGAACAAAGATGAAGAACATTGTCTCTGGGGTGGAGAAGTGAGTTTAGAATTGGATGATGTGGGGAGAGATGTCATTCAACCAGATCATCTTTGAAACCAAGGGTCCTCTGTCCTCTCCTCCTAAACCCAAGGGTCGAGGTCCCTGGTTCCTTTCAACTTTAGCTTCCCTGAGCCACAGCCCCAAATCCTCTTTCTCTGCTCAGACCCAGGAGTCTGGACCCCAGCTCCTCCTGTCTCCAAACACAGGAATCCAGGTCCCCAGTCCCTCCTTCCTGGGAAGTCTCATCTACTCTAAGGCCTGTCCAAACTCTGTCTCCCTCCTCTCTGGGGAATTAGAAGTCTTGGTTCCCATGGCCTAGCTGGTCCTACCTTTTAGGACTTTGACCTTTGCCCAATCTAGGTGTAGAATGGTCTTATAGTGAGCTGTGGTGGCCCACGCCTGTAATCCCCAGCACTGAGAGGCTGAGGCAGGAAGATCACCAAGAGTTTAAGGCCAGATGGGCTGCATAATGAGTTCAAGGTCAGCTTGTACTACATAGTGAGAACCTGTCCCAAAACAAAATAAACCATAGGGGTCAGTATGTAGATTGGGCTTTATCGTCACAATATCCCAGTTCCTGCCTAGAACTCGAGTCTTGTCTGTGTCCCTGCTTCCGGGCCTGTCCTAGGCTGTTTGCCCTTCACGTCACCTGTCCGAATAGCCCTGCCTGCCACAAGTGCTCTTTGCTGCCTCTGGCCTCTTCTTTCTCCCCAGCTCTCCTGTCTCTCTGGTCTGTCAGGCTGGCCCTAGGGCTGTGCACTGGGCTGCTGTCCCTCCTCTGTCCTTCTGTCTGTCGGACAGCTTTTCCCCTCTGCCTCCCTCTCCCTCGCCCTTCCTTTTCTGCTCTCTGCTCCCTTTCTCAGCCCCTGTAACTTCATGGCCTCAGGCTCTGGCTCCTGTCCTTATTACTCCTTCCCCGTGTGCCTGTCCCTCGGTGCTTCCTCTCTTGCGTTGCCTGTTCCCCATCTCTGTCTGTCTCTGACTTATGCTCTCCTGGTCCCTCCACAGCCTCTATTTTTATCCCTCTGACACACCCCCTGTGACCACCTCTCTGTCTGTCTCTCCCCTCCCTCGTCTCAGGTCCCGCTCCTAGTCCCAATTAGTTGGTGGCGGCCAAGCAGTGGCAGGGCCCCCACCCCCGGCTCCTCATTACCGCCAGCGACTCCTAATGAGCCTGGGGGGAGGTGACCCTGCGCCCCCAGCCCGGCCTGCGTCACTGCCCAGTGCGGGGGCTGGGAAAGCGATATAAGGGGGCTGCCTGTGTGCCGCCCAAGCCCATTGCGCGGTAGGGGGCCCTGCGGGCGGCCTGGGGTGGGCGGCTGACGGGGCCAGGATCTGGGCTCAGAGTCAGACTTCAGCCCTTCCTCTCCCCACAGGTGATGGAGACTCGCCAGGTGTCCCCGAGCCCCCGGATGCGGCTGTTGCTGCTTCTGCTTCTGCTCGTGCCCTGGGGCACCCGCACCGCCTCGGGTATCGCTCTGCCCCTCGCGGGGGTCCTCAGGTAGGTCCCAGGCCCAGGACTCCCATGGGAGGGTGGGGACCCGGAGAAAATGGAACTAGAGACCCAAAGAGAGGGCCAGGAGATACAAAGCGGGGAGGTCAGAGTGTGACGCGGCGTGGAGGAAGGCAGGTAGGTGGAGGAGCAACAGGAGACAGATGTGGGCGAGGCACGGAGACTTGGATTCAGATTCATTTTCAGCGCCCCGCGGCTGCGTTCCCCTGTGCCAGGCCGCGAGCTGAGTGCCAGGGGCGGAATAGGATCGGACTTGGCTTGGGTCTCAGGGCGCCTCGACCGAGGGAGCAGAGGGACCTGGGCAGGAGACAAAGGGAGGGGAGGAGGCAGAACCTCTCTGCCCAGGTGCAGTAATCGGGCTCCGAGTTAGACCGCAGGGAGAACCGGCGGGCAAGCCCAGATGCGCGGTAACTCGGACTCCCCGTCTCCCGTCTCCGCACAGCCCTCGCACCTCCCGCCAGGCCCGGGCGGGTCCGGCCACCCCGGTGTCTGTGTCGCAGCGCAGCCTGGCGCTGGCGGACGACGCGGCCTTCCGGGAGCGCGCTCGGCTGCTGGCCGCCCTTGAGCGCCGCCACTGGCTGAACTCGTACATGCATCGGCTGCTGCTGCTAGATGCGCCCTAAGCCGCTAATAAAGACTGCTCGCCTGCGCCCTTTTCTGCTCCTCTGTGTGTGAGGTCTGCGCCGGCCACTCTTGGCAACTCACCCTTCAGTGCCCATCCCCCCTTTTAAAAACAGGGTCTCGCTGTGTAGCCAAGGCTGGCCTCAAACTAGCAGCGATCCTCCTGACTCAGCCTCCTAACGTCTGCGATGACTGACGGGTGTGCGCCATCACATCTGGCTCTCCATTCTTCTGGCTCTGAAATTCTTCCTTTAATTACCCTGCCCCTTTCTCTGGTTGGCTTTCTCATGACTTCCTTTTCCGTCTGCCTTCGGATTTTCATTCTCTCCCTTAGCTCTCATTTTCTCTGTTTTGCTGTTGCCCCTTTGTCTCCTTAGGAACGCGGCTTTTAAACCTCCCTGCGCCTTTTCCTCGCTTGTTACGAGGATTAAACCAGATCCTGTACTGTACAGTGCTTCAGCAGAGCCCGACGCACAGAAAAAAATCCTTTAATTAGAACTTTTCCTCTTCAGAGATTTCTGAGGCGAGCTGCCAGGGAGCAGGGGACCTCAGGCCGGGGCGGGGGTCACCTGGGCCGCAGGTGAAGCGAGAAGCGAAGAGGCAGCCAATCAGTATGTTTCTCTCCTTTACGGCGCTGCCAGTTCTTCGGCTCCGCCCCTCAGCACTGACCAGCCACACTCTCTGATGGACGCGGAGGGCGCCGACTAGCGCTGGGTCGGAAGGAGGAGGGGCACAGCTCGTGCGGATCGCACTCTGATTGGCCTGAAGAGGAAGAGGGTGGTGCCTCACGTAGAGGGGCGGGGCTGTGGCGAGTTAGTCCCCACAGGCCCTTAGGCTGTGGCCCCAGAAATAACAAGGGGTATTTCCAACAAACACTTTGACGGTTGGCCTAATATTACGTTTTGCTGTTGTTGTTTGTACCGGGAATGGAACTTACAATTTCGCACCTGCCAGGCAGGCGCTGCGCTACTGAGCTATATCCCAGCTCCAATATTACAAATAAACATGACAAAGTGAGGAGTAATTTTCTCAAGTTGTCAGCTAGCCAGGGACAGGATAACTGGAATCCAAATGTGTGTCACATTCAAAGGTACAGGTATGAGCCGGGGAGATAGCTCAGTAGAATAAGCGCAAGTGCAAGGGTCTGAGTTCAATCAAAAAAAAGAAAAAAGAAAAAGAAAAAGTTGCAGGCTTCCCATTGCCCTAGGAAGACCCAGGATTCCATGGCTAAGCAGCATTTGCACGTGTAGCCCGGTGCTATTCTACCTGCTGCACTTGAACCAGCTCTTGGGACCACGCGACCCCACCGGAGTCCCGGCCCCGGCCCTGGCCCCGGCCCCCCAGCCTTACAGCTGGGCAGTGGCCTGGGCTCTTCCTGTACTCTACTTTCTCCCATCTCATCTCACTTCCCACTACACGCAAACCCTTCCCAGGCTGCAAGAAAAACAGCACAGTCTGCTCTCTCCCCACAGCCACCTGGGCTTCCCACAAACTGCTGCTCTGTCTGCTGGGACCCCCTCCTCTCATCACTGTCACGATGGTCAGCACGAACGGGGGGGGGGATTCTGGGGGCGGTGCAAGACGGTCCACTACAGAGCTAGGATGCAGTTTAGACAGGACAAACCAGCTGGAGAGAGAGCGTAGCGGTTTATGCATTAGGCTCTACAAAGCGAGTTAGTGGGTTCGAGTCCCCGGTCTGCCTTTGGGGCGGGGGAGATGGCTCAGTAGGATAAGCACTTGACTGGCAAACGCCAGGATCTGAGTTCAATCCCCCGGTTCCACAAAAAAAAAAGGACAGGACAAACCCCCACTCCTTCCCAGGGGGCAGTGGAAGTCACTCAGAACCCGATGGGGGGTTGAGGCAGAGACCAGGCCCTTACTCACACAGCGCCCAGGTGTGGGCAGCAACATGCCTGGCCCTGAAGGCAGCCTCCCTCCCACGTAAGACAGGTGGCTCCCAAAGGGATGCTGGGAGCTGTCACTGCTATTGTCTTCTGGGCATGAGGGAAGGACTGCAAAGTTGAAGAGGTCTTAGCCACACTACTCTTCCTCCTCCAGCCTTGGGTGGTGAGACGATAAATAATCCACGGCACCAAAAGCCATTATTTGGTGTTTTTGTTTTGTTTTGTTAAGAAATGGAGTCACAGCAGTAGGAAATGTGGAGATATCACATAAATACCCAACACAGAGATGGGGCTGCCCCTGCACTGGCTCTGGGAGTGTGGGCCTGGCAGGTGGTGACAACACTGAGCAGGGTGAGGGAAGTGGCGCTTACACGGGTGGCGGCTGAAGGTAACAGAGCTGCAGGTGGGGCCAGGTGGGTGGCCGGATCCGGCCCAGCAGCATTGCTGAGAGCAGCAGCAGCAGCAGGAGCATCGGGCCCAGGACCCGGGCATGGAGCAGCGAGTGCTGAGGGGCCCTAGTGGGAGGCGGGAGAGGGCTCAGTATGGGAGGCATGGTCTCCTGGGTCTGGCCACCTCCCCTCTTCAGGAGATGCTTCAAGGGTGCACCTGGGTGGCTGGGGACACAGTGGGGACAGGTGGTACTGGTCCCAGGGCCTCTCGACTGGGACCAGCTCCTTTACCACAGGCACCAGGGCTTGCTGGAGCACCAGCTCGGCAGGGCTGTGAGGGATAGAGGGAAGGAATTATCCCGAGTTGTCTGTCCCCACGTCCCCTCCAATCCTCATGGGTTTCATTACCTCTCAGGAGGGTGTCCGGCAATGTCTTCAGGGTAAGGGTCTCTCAGAAGGATAGATGGATCAGCCTGAAGGACAAAGGAGACACCCCTGGGGCACTGGGTCCTGGACTGAACTGACCCCCTGGTTCCAGGGGGCACATAAGACGTGGAGCATCTCTGGAACATGATGTCAGGTGGGGGTCCCAGCCCTGCAACTTTCGGCCACGTATCCTTTGGCAGGTCATGCCACACCTCTTTGCCTCACTTTACCCACCCACCTGTCAGGGATGTGACAGTCTCTAACTCATAGGAGACTAGAAGAGTGGCTGCAGGAAGCTGGGTGTGGTGGTGCACACCTATGATCCCAGCACTTGTGAGGCTGAGGTAGTAGGATCACTGCAAGTTCAAGGCCAGCCTGAACTACACAGCAAGACCCTGGCTCAAGACTGGGCGTGGATGGACTGGACATGGATGGAGTCAGGGAGATGGCTCAGTGGAATAAGCACTTCCCTGGCAAGCGCAAAGGCCTGAGTTCAATCCCGGGTTCCGGAAAAAAAAAAAAGACTGGGCATGGTGGTGCATGCCTGTAACCCCGGCACTTCAGAGGCTGAAAACAGGAGGATCACTATGAGTCCAATATGTGTAGTGAGACACTGTAGCCCCTGTACTAAATACATTAAAAAATGATAATAAAAATATCCTGGCTCAAACAAATATAAAGGAAGGAAAAATAGTGAGAGGGGCTCAGAGGAGGGCTCAGTACAGTGAGCACTCAGGACTGAGTGAGCTGCTCATATTGTCATTTTCATGTCCCACCGGATTCTGGGAGTTTCTGAGCTGGTGAGGCCATGCCAGGACCCCTGCAGACGTGAAGCCTATGCTCCTATGCTGCACCTTGTACAGGTAGGCCTCAGACTGCTCCTGCCTGGGTCTCTGCTCAGGCCTCCTCTGCACACGCCTGGGCATTCCCACCCCACAGCTTTGTTCCAGGGACGATGATGGTGACACCAATAAGGCAATAAAAACAAAGACTGACCCCAGCCATGTCTTCACTACCGTCAGCCACTGCACCAGGCACGGGACCAGGCCCCTCACGTGTGGCCCTGACAGGAGGGCTGGTAGACTATCATGGCACCAGCTGCACAGACACTGAGCTGGCACTGTCTGAGCCCACAGTGTGGTGGGGTATGGGGCCACGCTGCTCTGAGCACAGCATCCTCAAGGATAGGTGTCTTGGCCAGTCTGGGCCCCAGAGTGCTGCCAGTATGCAGCTAGACTGGCTTTGGCATGCCTACTGCAGCTGAAGCCATGGGCTTCTCATGCAGCTTCCTTTCCTCCTGCCAGTGACTGAGTTGGGGTTGTGGCCTCCCCCTTACAGGGAAGACAAGGGGCTCTGAGATGGGAGACAGGGCAGCTGGGCGGCCTGCCCACCACTAGTGGTCCCTGGCACTGTGCATTTACACAATCTGGGGCTGAGGGTTCAGCCCTGTACACTGGCTGGGGGGATCTCCTGGGGACATTCTGGCTGCCCCCACCTCAGCCACTGGAAGACTTGGTTATCTCAAGACCCATGGTGATATTCTTCTCTGCTCCTGAGGGTGGGGGTGGGGTAGGGGTGGAGTGAATGGAGGGCTCTGAAGGGGTGCTGGCACTGCCTACCGTGAGCCAGCAATTCCCTTCTGCTTCCTCTTCTGCTTCTGATTCCTCTCTTCTGGGCAACCTGAGGGCAAGGATGTCACTGGAAACCTCCTTCCCCTCACCTGGCTCCCTTTGCCCAGGGGAACTGGGAGGGAGCCTTTAAAGCAGGTGGAGTCCCAGCACAGATGGGCCCAGGAGGGCCTGGGTATCCCATGCCTGTGTTTCTCAAGAAAATTTCCACCAATTCTCCAAACTGTGATCTTCTCAAAGGGCAAGGGATCCTCTTTACCCGGGAATAGAATTCCACCTACTGCTTTCCAGGTGATTCCTCACCAGAGGCTTCGGGTTCTCCCACGCCCCCACCTCCCACACCCTAGCACCTGCTGCACCCGCATGCCCACTAGGCCGCCATCCAACACCTGTGTCTATTTCTGGGTCTTGGCCTACTGGATCTTTAAGTCCTGGAGCTCCCGCTCAGGTCCTCCTACCCGGAGGTCCTGCTCAGTGAGCTCTGCCCACACCCAAATCACTTCTCCTGAAGCCCAATCTCTGCCATGCCTGGGTCACGGCCACTGAGCCCCTCCAGTTCCTCTCTGCAGACTCAGTTCTCAGGCACCCAGACATCCACAATGGGACCAAGGACCAGGCCCTGCACACCCTGGGAGACGGCTGATCCCTCAGCCCTCTCTTCCTCCCAAATGTCTCCCAAACTACGCTGGGCACAGGTGGTTTAGTTCCCTAGACCTGTCAAGGTCAGGCTTCAACCCTGGTTGCCTCTCTCCCATCCTGGGGGAAACTCAAGACAGCATCAGCCCTGCCATCACGGGCTCCGCTCCTCCTCTGTTCCTAGGTGACACAGGGAGGCACAACTCAGAGCCCCCAGCCCACCCGATCTCACCTTCCAGACAAGTCCAATGAGAGGCCACAGGGGCCGCATCATTAGTCATCTAGGCAGAGACTGGAGGGGAAGGGGTGGGGGAGGGGAAGACAGCTCCAGAAACCAGTGGTCCAGGGCTGCCCTGCACCTAATGCTTTCTACACACTCAATGGCCTGGACCCAGCCTGGGCAACCACGTTTAGGCACCATAGTGGTGCTTCAGGGATACAACTGGACACACTCTCCAGCCCTAGCACAAGGTAACTGAGGTGGGGGTCTCATTCCTTGGGGCCTCCTGGAGGCCTAGGAGGAGGTATTCGGTGGGAAGGTGGCCACCCTGCTTCCTGTCTACACAGCTCCTGTACCAACTCCTTCTCAGTCCTCCAGGCCACCCTCAGGGTCACCTCCTCCAGGTGCTGCAGCTCCTCCTGGAGCTGTCTGGGTTTGGTCTGATTCCCCGGAGTGAGAGACAAGAGGGTCTGAGCCTCTCTGTTCCACAGGCCCAGGGCCCCCCGAAAGGCTTTGTGTGAATAAAGGGGTAGCACCAGGAGGATAAATGTGGTGTCACCGGGAGGCAGAGGGTTGCTCCTGAGGAACAAGCTCCTACCACAGGAATGATTCCTTCCTCTCTCCTTCAGGGCATGCTGGCTCTCCCTTGGCATTTTTCTGTGGAAACAAAAAGACAGGTGTCCCTCACTCCTGCCATATGAATCCTCTCCCTGGCTTTTGGCCATGTCTGCTCCATGGTACCTGCTCTCCCCTTGCCCATGTCCCAGACCCTATGTGTAGCCTGCCCTGAATCCACCTTAAGACCTCTTTTTGTGACTCCCCCCACTTGGATCCACTCTGTCACCCTCTCAGGGGCAGAAGCCACACACAGGACAATTGTTTATAAGTCCTATGTGCCATCCCACAGGACTCAGGAATCAAGGTCCCCTAAGCCCTGGATGTCCATTAATCTCTCCTGCTTGATGGCCTGGGAGGAGTCACTGCACCTTCCAACCCCTCAGGATGCAGGGCCTCTGTGTTGCCCAGAGCCACCTCCTGGTCTCGACCCTGGTCACCAACCTGATCTCATTCTCCAAACTCAGTCACTTCCTGTGTTCAGCTTAAGCCCCCAGCTGTCTGTGGTGGCCCCAGGGTGGTCCTCCTCTCATCACTCTTCTCTGAAGCCTGTCTGTCCCTAGCCCTGTGCACCTACTCTCGCTGCAGGTCCCTGTTCAGCATCTCCATGCTCTAGCCTGGCCTTCCAGCTTTCAGCCGGTCCCTTATGCAGCTCAGAGGGATCTTGCCTGCTAGGGCTCAGTCCTGCTCCTCGCCCTCAACCTTTTTGTGGTCGTACAGAGAAAAACACAATCTCAAGCTGACAGGAATTTCTTTCATTAGCTAGCCTGGTACCTCACTAGTCAACCTAGGCCAGCTGGGGTGGCTCCCAAGTATGATGTGGATTTAGGCCCCCAAGGCTGTTCCTGCTGCTCAGAAAGTCTTTATTCCTTGAACCACTTATATTTTTTTGTGTCTCTATATTTTGTTTTGCTTTGTTTGAAAGATAGGGTCTCACTATGTACTCACAGTGATCCTCCTGCCTTAGCCTCCCAAGTACTTTTCTTTTGTTTTTTTGAGACAGGGTCTCATCACTATGTAGTTTAGGCTGGTCTTGAGCTCACCACAATCTTCTTGCCTCAGCCTCCTGAGTGCTGGGATTACAGATGGGCACCACTACACGTGGCTACAGTTTTAAGTAACATGATTCCTAGCAATGTTTTATAAAAAAAGAAAATAAAAAGCTACCACTTAATTTTTTCTTGCTTTATAGCAGGTCTATCCAAATAGGGCAAGGGTGGCATCCCGTTTGGCTTGGGGCTTGAGGTGCAGCACGCAGTGGGCTTTCAATAAATGTCTGCTCATTGATCAAGGCATAAGCAAAGGTGTGAAGGGAATCCTTGGCCTTGTGCTCTCCCCTGCTCACCTGTCCCCCATCTGGGACTTCAGATGGAACCTCAGGTTCTTCACTGGGCTCCCGGGTGACCTCTCCCCACTGCCATACTCCACACAGCGGACTGGAGAGATCATCACCTGTCACCTCTTGTTTCTGGGAAGGAAAAATTGTTTCTGCGATCAGGAGGGGCCAGACTGGGGCAAAGGTGGAGACAGGTGCAGGTGTGGGCCTGGGGAAAGAGGAGGAATGAAAGGCCTGTTGTGAGGCTGGGGCTGGGGCATGGGAGCAGGACCAGGACAGGTCAGGGTGAGCATGAGGTGACCATATGAGTGGATGTGACAGGGCTGAGTCAGCTTGGGCTGGGCTGCCAACAGATTTGGGTTTGGCATCTGAGGTACAGAGAGAGTTTAAGAAGAGCTGAGTTTAGGGTGCGAAGCACTTGGCAGCAGTGTGATTTAGGGGATCCCCAAAAGAGGTCTGGGGCCATGGGCCAGGCTAAATGTGAGCATCAGAGTGGGGACACACTGGAGTTTCTGTCTTGGTGGCCTCCACTGTAGTCCAGGACTGCTGGGCCTACCTGCCAAATGGCCTCGATCTCCAAACCCAGCGATGGGGGCAGTGGCATAGTCCAGCTTGCTCCTCCTGCCTGGGCTCCTTCCAGCATCCTGGCCACACAGACAAGACGGGGTGCTGCTTCTCTCTGCTGCCACTACCAGTCCTCACCTGGCTCCCTACCAGCCACTCACTCATCTGGTGCCTCCTGGGCCTGACTCAGCTGCTCCTCCAGGTGAGAGATTTCCCGCCTCAGTTCCTGCAGGGGAGGGGAGCATGGAGGACGCTGGCTTCTCCATACTGCCACTGCCTTGGTCCTTTACACCCTCTCTACTTCCCGACTCGCAGGGGGATGAGGACACTGACACACTTACACAGCTGAAGGTACAGAGAGAGACACAACCAGAGAAAGTACAGGAAGGCAGGCAGATGTGGGGATCCCTGGCAAAGCGAGGTGTGGATGGTAACAGACTGATGCACAGAGGGGCAGGATGTGAGAGACTCACGAAGACAGGAGCCCACAGTGAAACCAGAACACACACATTGTACCCAGAGGCAGAGACAAGTGCTGCAGGGAGCCAGCCTAAGACATCACAGAGATGAACGACAAAGGGGGAGTAAAGGAGGAGAGCAAGAAGGACAGAGGAAGAAGTGGGAAATGCAGCTGCAGCTCCGTGTGTGGGCTGAAAAGGGATGCAAGGAGGGGAGTCAGGTGGTGTCCTCAGTGGGGTGCTGACCTGGGTGGTGGCTCTGTACTCCTCCACTGTCTTGGCCAGGCTTTCGGTATGCCGCGTGCGCTAGGAAAGCACAAAGCCAGCTGTGTCCAGGCCCAGGTCCCCAGACACTGAGGCTGCTGGTTTTGGGGTACTGGCTGTGGCTGAGAGGGACAGACAGGGCAGAGGGATTCCAGATCCCGAAGGCTATGCTTGTGACTTCTCTGGAACTGAGGGGCAAATGTGTGCAAAGGGCTAATGTTGTCTTCCTGGGCCCTCACCTCGGAAAGGATGGCGTCCCGTTGGCAGATGAGGCGTTCATACTCATAGAGCTGCCGCTGCCAAGGAATGAGCCTGTCCATCTCCAGCCTCCAGGATACCCTGGCCTGGTCACCCGCTTGCCCCCCTATCTCCCAGCGCCTCTCCACGGCCTCCCATGACAGCCTGGATGTCAGCTACACAGAGGGGTTCAGCAGGGTTGCCTGGAGCTGGATTGCTGGATCCTGACAGAGGAGTCCTGCACTCAACTGGCCTCAGTAGCTGAACCCGGATGGTGACAGTGGCCCTGGGGAGGAGTGCTCTCTGGCAGCAGGCAGAGGCAGCACCTTTAAAGCATCCTTCTCTGTGGCCAGCTCCTCACTCCTCCTCTTCACGTCATCCCGCTCAGCCAGCAGCTTTCCATTCTGGAGGAGAAGGGTGCACAGGACAGCTGGCTTCAGCATTGGTAACACCAATGATAACAGCTGTTTGCTGAAAATTCACACAGGTCAACTTAGTTCCCAGTTCTCATTTTAAAGATAAAGGCAACTCAAGAACAGAGGCTGTGCAACTTGCCCTGATCCTAATTTATACAGCTACTCATCTCTGTTAATTTTTTTGAGGATCTCACCATGTAACTCCGGGTGGAGCTGAAGTCCCTCTGTGGCCCATGGCTACATAGTTCTATGGCCTGGAACTCGCTGCCACTCTCCTGCCTCAGCTTCCTAAGTGCTGGGCTAACACACATGTGCCACCATGCCCAGCTTAGTTTGTTAAAAGATGATCAGAACAAGGTCTACCTTGCTTTTGGTCAAACTGTGTCAATTCTTTTAATCTAACAGTAAGTTCTCTCACAAGTACTTTTTGAGCCTTCATCTATGCAGAATCCAGGTCAACTGTCCTGTGGAATCCATGCATTTGGATTTGGCTGGTGTCCTTTTGGCTCCCAGTGGTTGTCCAGGACCTCAAGCAGGCTCCTGTGCAATGTGCCACCCTAGCTGGGAACAGCACCATAGCTCTCAGTTCTGCAGAGGAGTTGGGGGAGGGTGCCTAAGAACCCTAGCCAAGCTCACTGAGCAGAAGTGGATGCAAATCCCAGTGATGAGTTCAAATCTCGTCTGTAATCCTGGACTCTCCTTCATACCAGATGCAGTGCTGAGAATGGGGACCGAGTGAAACAGCCTCATCCTGCCCATGGGAGTGCAACGCAAGTAGAGATGACCCAGAGCAGAGGGTGCCAAAGCAAATTCCAGAGGTGGGCCCTAGGAGGCCCATTGCGACCTGGCAGCAGACCGTGGTATCCGGGCTGTAGCTCTGAGGGAAGCAAGAAGGCCAGGAGAGGGCAGCCCATGCAGACAGGACTTTAGAATGAACAGGTCAGCACTCTATGGCTGAGGCAGGAGGATCACAAGTTTGAGCCCAGCCTGGGTGACTTGGCAACTTAGTGAGACCCTGTCTCAAAGTAAAAACTAGACAAGGGCTGGTGATGCAGCTGAATGTGAAGCTCCAAGTACTGCCAAAAGAGCATAGAACAAGATGAAACACTCCGGTCCAAACTGCAGCCTAAGGTATTTATGTACCAGAAGCCTCTCAACTGCGTGGAGTTGAAGCTGTTGTAGGAGGTGCGTCAGGTATCAGGTATCAGCAGCAGCAGCCCAGATCTCCTCTGGCGCGCCCTCCTCTGGTGCCTAGAGGATACTGAGACAGCTCTGCCTTGCTTCCTCCGGCTAGACTCCAAGTCCTCCATCAGCCGCCCTCACTTTGCTCACTGTCTCAGCGGGCCTGGGCAGCCAGGTGAAGGACGGAGAAAGGACGGGCGGGAGTGCTGTGTCAACATCTGTCCACCTGGTGGGGACTGCTCGCTAGATCCCCAGCCCCTCCACAGGGTGCTGGTTACTCAGCTGCTCCTGCAGAAACAAGAGGCAGCCCCTCATCCTCCTTCAGAAGGCCATGCGTCCCTTTGGGCGAGTGTCACATTACCAGCATTATCCTCCATAACCGTAACCTGAGAACTCAATCTATAGCTGCTCCGCAGGCAGCTGCAGAGAGGGTGGCAACCAAGAATAGCTGCAGCTTATCAAGCAAGTCAGTGCCCAGGGAGTCCTGGCACTCTTGGGCTGGAGGGGCCTTCTGTACAGTGCAGATGCAGGGACTGCTGGTTGTCACTCCCCTGCTTGTCACCTCTGTGATCCTCAAGTATCTACTCATGTGTCTGAGGACAGGCAAGTCCCAGCCCCAGCCCAGAGGTGAATAAAGAGGGACATCTTGGCAGATTCAGGGAACCTCATGGCCATTCTTGTCCTTTCTTGCATATCTGCCTCACATCTTAGCTGCTGAAGGTCAGATCCTTTCCCATCCTCCTTTGCATGGGGGGGGGGATACGTGATCCCTGGCGTCAGTTAAAGATCTATGGAGGGTGGGGAGTGGAGCACCCAGCCTCTGGAGAAAGCTCCTCCTTCTGAGGAACAAGGTGCCATTAGATAGGTATTTGCTGGCTTCCTCTCCTGGCTTTGAATGAGTGTGAGGTCAGGAGCTGTTGCAGCCATTTGTGCCATGGGCTAGAAACAGATGAAAAAGCCAGTGAGCCAACAAACCAATCTGGAGACCACGTCCTTCAGAATCTCTCAAAATGAAGTGTCCTTCAGGTTGAAGCCACCATTTTCTTCAAAGGTCCTCTTCCTTGGAGTTGAACATGTTCTGGACCATCAGTGGCCAGACTGTGTGTTAAGGACTGATGTGACTATAAGCCACAACACTGAGATGCGAGCGAGGTGTGAGGAAGCGAGTGGTGGCAGGAAGAACCTTTCCTCATTCCTAGAAAATACATTCTGGAAGAAACCATCACATTCTGCCCATGCTCCACGCCTCACACTGGGGTAGCCATCTGCTGGGGCTGACAGAAGAGCCATGGAATACTGGAAACAGGGCTAAGAGCTTTAGAGTGGATCCATGATCTGCCCGGACTAGGCAGAGGTGCTTAGAGCTGGGAGAGAGTGCTGAAGAGTCACAGAAAACCACACCTGTAATCCCAGCACTCTGGGAGGCTGAGGCAGGAAGATCATAAACTGGAATTCAGCCAGAGCAATTTAGCAAGACCCCCTCTCAAAATAAAAAATAAATAGTAGGCTCAGGATATAGCTCAATGCAAAGCTCAGAACTAGAAATTAAAAAAAAAAAAAAAAAAGGACTAAAAATGAGTCCTGAGCCAGTTCCACGCTCCTCAGTTGTGAGGGTAGAGGGGTGGATACAACTGCAGAGGCCCTAAAAAGTATAGGAATCTGAGAGGCTCTGTGCCCTTCCCAGCCCAGCTCAGATCCACTGATGGGTAATGATACAGATTCTATGTAAGGCCCAGCGAGGCCCTCAGTGCCCACAGGAAGCAGCCAGATCTCCTCTGGGCCCTGGAAGGGTGTGCAGATGGCTGCGGGTGCCACCAGCAGACACAGCGAGGACTGTGAGTGCAGAGATCGGCAGGCAGCAGGCCTCCCCAGGCTGGGAACAGATGGGAGAAAGATCATGCATCTCTGAAGAGCAGAGACAACAGATTCTGGTGAAGACCTGTGGTTTCCTGGAGCATGAGGGCCCCGTGTGGACTCTCTGCAACTCAGATGCCACCTCAGGGTGGGCAGCGTGATGAGTCTCATCATTGATGAATTCCAGTTTCAGCTACAAAAACTAGGTGGGCTCAGAACCAACTAAGATGACATTTTCTGTCTCCCTGGTTCTTGGAGAATGGAACTAAAGCTTGACAGGGGATGGTTGCGGCACAGGGGTGAAGCACTTGCCTTCCACACTGGAGGCCTGGGTTTTGTCCCAGGGCACAAAACAAAAACAAAGTAAGGCTTGGTATTGATAAGCTGCATGCCTAAAGCTGCCTGCTGTGTAAGTGGCAGAGATGGGAGCTGAAGTCAGGGCTGCCTTTAGCCCATGTTCTTTTTACCATAAACAGTGCTAGCACATAAACGATGCTAGTCAACTCTCAGCAAGCAGGTCCTCCATGTCTGCCTTGTCTTCTGCTATGCTCACCTGTACAGGTGAGGACACAGCCACAGCAAGGGAATCCATGGCCCGTGGCCACCTATGTGGCTTCAGGCAAGCCAGGCACCCTCCCGGGCCCATGCTCTGTCAGCCATGCAGCTCTTATTTTATGTGATGTTGCCTAGGGCATTCACATTGCTGGGGTGCCACAGTCCAGCCTGTGGGCTACAGGGGTGTGTGTGGGGGGCAGGTGGACAGGTAATGCTGGGCCTTGACTCACCTCCTCCTGTAGAGTCTCCACCTCTGCCACCAGGTGCTGCTGCTCCTTTTCCTGATCAAGCCAGAGAAGACAAAGACTTCATTTCCAGACTCCGCCTCCATAACCCCCCTCCTTGACATTAAAGAACGGGGCTGGGAGCTGGGTGTGGCAGCTCAGATTTATAATCTCAGTGCTCAGGAGGCTGAGGCAGTGGGATCTCTCTGAGTTCTAAACTATATAGCAGCCCTCGGAGTCACCTGGTGTGCACCTAATGCCAGCCCAGGAAGCCCTCACAAATCCACGCCACGTATCGCTTTGCAGTGAGGTCCATTTGGGTGTGTATGTGCACATGTAAGCTTAAAGTGGAGGGAGTTAACAGTACATGTATTATCTTTTTAAGTAGTATACAAACATGCTAATCCAGGTAGTGTTGATTCTATCTGTACAATTACACTTAGGCAGAAATGCATACATATTTCAACTAATTTGCTGTGTGATTTATATGTAGCCATTTAGATTTTCACCATGTTCTAACCGAAATGTCAACAATATTCAGTTTCATCATGTTCATCAGGAGTCAGCTCATCAGCGAGGGCTGGTCCGAGTTGCCTTGTGTACAGAAGACATGGCTATACGCAATGGGGGCTTCAGAGTATGTTCTAAATGCTTGTTCACGTGGACAGCACAACCCATCACTCACCTGAGATCATTTTATTGTACGTCTAAGTTGGAAGTGCTTTGCTATATTTCATACTCAAGAAAAACGAGGGCAGAGTTACAAAAAAAATATTTTTCTGATCAAAAATTAAAGAAGGAATATTGGTTGGATTTTTATGAAGGGCTATAATTTTTCTACTTGAAAACTTTTATAAAAAATATTTCAATGTAATAGCATTTTCTACACTGTCAACTTTTCCATCTGACTTAAAGTTAATTCAATTTTCACTGTTTTGCCATTTATATATAAATATTTTTCTTCAATAAAAAAAAACAAACTATATAGCAATACCTTGACTCAAAACCAAACCAAACCATACCAGTAAATGACTGTAATTCCATAATATGGAAGGCTGAGGAAGAAGAATCACCGATCACCATGAGGTGTTTTTTTTTTTTTTTTTTTTTTTTTTTT